CGCCACTTTCTACAGTAACTGAGAATTACACTAGTGAAAATTTTACAAGTTCACTTTCATATTTGCAGTGAAAACTTATTAATGCTCTTAATTTCAGTATTGAATTTATTACTAATACATAAACTTTCCTGTAATGCCAAATTTGTTTTTAATAAAAGCTTACAATACAAGTCTGATTAGACAAACAACATAAAAATAATGAACAAAATATGTTCAATGAAAAATTTCTAAAAAATGTGAATTACATCACTATATTTTGATTTTAATATTAGAAAGGAGAGAAAAAGCTTCATAAATATTCCCAAAACACTAATTTTAATACATTAAATTCTACCTTTCACATTAAAAAACATAAATAATAATAATACTCTATTAAGAGATAAACTCTGCTTGTTAAATTTGAAAATTGTCCTTACAAGATAACAGCTGAAAGAATCTTCCCCCCTTCCTGATATAAAAAGAATGGCATGACAATGCATTACATGGTTTTGTATTCTTTTATCTGCATTAAATTGTATTCCTCAGACTGAATAAATATCAAACTTGAAGTAGTTTTAAATAATGAATTTTGGATCTATGTGGAATTTAACTCCTATTCTAAGAAAATCTAATTAACCTTAGGATGTTAATGATTTAAATTACCATCATTTATGTACTTCTTACCAAAGTGATCATCTAATATGAAGTTTTCTAAAAATTTTCATACTAAATTTTACTAATACGGTAAACCTTCAAATTTGCAATTTTTTTTTTGGGGGGGGGGGAGAATTGTACAAATACTCTGTCTTTCCAAACTTACTGTCTAATGTTAAAAAGTAAATAAAGAAATAAATTTTCATTAAAGTCAACATAAAGTACGATTTTTAAGTTGTACAATTTTTACATGCCTTATCACGCAATTACTATTAGATTATCATTTTTAAAACCTAAATTCAAAATAAATTCAGATTTGCTTTCACAAATACATTTACAAAAGTACTACATAAATACTTTGACACAGCATAAATACATAACAGATTTTCTTTCATTTTTTCCTAATATCTAAAATTGCAATTGAAGACAGTGTAATTAATAAATTCCTGTCTATTACTTTAATTATTGTTTAACACTAAACTCGGTAGATAGTATATGTAATTAATAAAGAAAAGTTAAAAAAAAACATAAATACAAATACCAAAAAAAGAGGGTGTATTTTTAAAAAAGCTACACCTAGGCTAAAACACAAAAGAAATGAAATGACTTTCTTTTTACTTATAGAGAAACAAGATACCCCACATTGAAAAATATAATAAAAAATAACATTTTAACCCTTTGTGGCTCAGTGTTCCACTACATGGAACACCCAAATTGAATGGCTTCTGAAACCTTTAAATTCAACCGTAAATAGATAAAAATGCCTTTATAATATACTTTGAACTTTTCTTTTTAAACAGTAGATAGCAGCATATCACAAAGGAAAGACAGAATTTTCATTTATTATGTGTTATTAAATCCACTTTTTTCCAAGTAATTTTCTCTATTTTTTTAACGATATAAAAAATTTTATTTGGAAAAAAAAAAAAAAAAAAAAAAAAAAAAAAAGGCATAATTTTGCTGGCTGTACTCCAAATTATTTGTTCTATATTTTTTTAAATCTTTCATACAAAAACCATACGCAGAATCATTGAATAAAACCGGGTGTTCCATTAGTGAGAACACTGCGCTTTAGCTATCTCATGCTGTTACGAATCAGAACATCTGTGCTTATGAGAGAACATCCAATGTTTACGTTGTTTTTTTTGGGGGGGAATGAATTCAAACAAAGCAGTATTGAGGGGTGATGTGTGTTTTGTGTTATGAAAGCCCTAATACTGGCATCTCGATTTTTTGAGGAGTAGTTTTTAGGCGGGAATTTTATTAGTAGCTTGACTCATCTTTACTTAGACCTGCACGAATTCTTTGCTGTCGCTTTTTAGTCTCATTCCCGTTTATTTTCAATAATTGTGTAGATATTTTTTTTGTATGTATATATTATAGGCTTATATTTCTTTATTGTTAATATTAATCGTAGTTAATTATTTTAATTGTAGCTGGTTTGTGCTTCCATCAAAAAGGTGTGACTTGCTTTGAACAATTTTAAGAAGCTAAGAAATATGAAAATTTGTAAATATTTTTTGCATATAGGACTTGTGTATACAGATATTTATCTCATTTATCCATCTATATCCAAGATTATTGTGCATATCCAGGAAACCATGTATACAGCCATAATACAGAGTTTTTTCATTCTTATACAAACGCTTCTACTCATTTTCGTGCTTCACTGCAATGCTTGCTTAGTCGCACTTTTAAAAGCTCTGGCGGCGCAGTTTTCCACCTCATGGAACATCCATAGAATTAAAACGGTAAGTGCAATTTTTAGTTGAAATTCCGACGTTAACGTATAGTGCGAAGCAAAGGGTTAAAGCAACAATAAATAAAAAGTGATACATTTCCTAAATGCAAAATACATATATTTATTTGTGATTCAGAACAATAAATTTAACAGAGTATTAAATGTTTTAAAACGCTTCATTTTAAACTGCTATTAAAAATGTTTTGTTTTCATTTCTTATCAAACTATAAATTTATAATTTTCAAAAAGAAGTGATTAACTAATATTTCTAGTATTTAATTCTAGAAATTTATTTATTGTGCAGAAAATCTTTAATTTTGTTAAGGATTATAAAAAAAAAATCTGTATTATGTGTATTTCAAATACAAATTTTGTTTGACGAAACTTGTTTTGATAAATGACAGAAATATAATAATCAGGCTGACATTGCACTCATTGCAGAAGTATCATGAAGACCTTTCATTGGAATTTCCTAAAAGCAGCTTTTCCCAAAATTAAAACAATATACCTAAATTAAAATGCATAAATATAATACAATTAATTAGTGAAGATGCTCTAAACCATTAAATTTCAGCAGGAGTCAGAAATTCCTATTTTCTCAAAAAATAAATATTTGTTATTATATATGTACTTATTTTAACCTATGATACAAAAATAACTATCAAACCAAAGTGAAAAGTAATGGAGCTCAAAATTTTAAATTCAAATTCCAATCAAATCTTTTTAACTGCATAAAAGTATTTTTCGGGTTTTTTTTTTTTTTTTTTTGGTCATATAAATATAATACTAGCATTATTACTGCAATATATTATATACTGGAGGGGGGGGAAATGACAATTTTTCAAATCAGTGAGCTATTTATTACAAAATAATGAAACCAAGCAAAAAAAAGTAGAAACTGTGCAGCCGAGACAAGAAATCTTAAACATCTCCCATGTTGATATAACCTTAATTAGTAGCTCTTTTGACTTCTCTCATGTATGGGTATTTCCTGAAAAGCTTCTTTTTGGACACGTGACTTGTCACTTATCGCTGTAGTAGCAAAATCAGGAAAAAAAATAGCTGTCTTTAATGTTATAAATTCAAAATATTTTAGTTTATGTAATAACTACTTACTTTTACTAATCTATACTGGTAAGCACCATTCTAGAAATATGATGCATTTTTTAAACTGCTCAAATCTCAAGATTCAACATTAAATGCAATAATTAGTAATAAATACAGAAATTAGCACACATGCTAAGATAGGAAATAATTTTAAAACCCATAAGCAGAAGGCTATGCTATCTTGAAATTAATGACAATTTATAAAATTTATGATACAAATAACATTTTTTAATCATAATTTTCAGAAAGTTAAGTGTTAAAATATATGAAACCTTGAAGAAAAATGTATTTTCTACTAGCAGAAAATATTCCTGAGCATACATGAAAAACAAATCTGTTTTATTTTTTTTTTTTTTTTTTGTCATGCGTACATCTGTTTTCACCCACCTCCATGCTCTAAAATCATTATAATATTACTGAGTCATCATTTTATTGTATTTGTCAGTGAAAATCAAAATATACTTCAAAGTTTTAGGGGGGGGGGATACAACTTTAGCACATTCTCGACCCTTAATTAAATTGTTTCATTTTTATCATTATTTATTTAAAATTGTAAGAAAAAATATCGCACACTCACATTTTTATTTACATATATAAAGTAAATACTTTGTATATATTTGGCTGAAATATCTGCTTGAAGATTATTCAAAGCAAATGCATACTAAATACACTTTTTACTGTTAGCCTTTTGCAGATGAATGATTAATTCCATGTGCTTTTTATTACGTTAAGTAACATGATCTGAGTTTATGAAAAATGCTCTGAAATACTTCATTAATCCCTAAAAACATTTTTTATTGCCTTTACAAGAGCTTTATCTTTCTGAATGCATTTTATTATGTCTGAAATTTAAGGGCAAAATTTCATCTTTAAAAAAAAAAAACCTCATAAAAATAAATTAATTTTTGTAAAAGTAACAGCAAGACTGTATCCACTGTTATATCCAAAACACTGCAGGGACATAACAAATCATTAACATTTTACCTTGCCACATATTGATGTTAGTGTAATTACTTAATCAAATGTCTGATATGCTTACAAAAAATCAGAAATGAAATTTTTCTATGTCAGAACTGCTTACTTTAACCCTGGTGTCCTGTACAAAATATAACACAGACTTAAATAGTATTTCAAATGCATTTAAAATGGATAATTTAATTACCTAAAATTAAAGGTGATTTATATATATAAACTAAATGACAGCAAGAATTTTTACTTTTTATGATCAGATTTAAAGAGCATAAATTTTAAGCTGCATATTTGTTTATATGACTCAATATTATTATCCGAACATAAGTATATAAATGCAAATAAAGGTTAAAATGTTCAATAATATTTAACGTAGATGCAAACATAGAAATATTTATGATTTATGAGAAACATCATAATTCCAAAAATAATCTGAGAACTGCTGCTCACTTTTGAAAATATACTTTGAACTATATAACAGCATTACATGCTATACAATGGCTGTACACTGATATACATTCATAGACATATAACACAGATGTATTTTACTTCACGGTACATCATCTTCCAATTTGGACTCCTTAAGAGTAGCATCATCCAGGAATGAATGCTGATAGGATGGTGACTCGACATTTATTATTAGGTCTGAAGTTTCAGATGAAGTATCTAAAACCAGAAGAAAAGAAAAGGTTAAATCCTATCAACATCCACTCCAAACCCGAGAATTAATTATCAATAAATAACACCCATTTTTTAAATTAATTTGAAAAATTCTTATTAAACTAAGCATAATCTAATATTACTTATATTTATCTAATTTCCCCTTATTTCTGGAAAATTATTTAGAATTATAACAATACACAGAATATCAATATATCAACTGCGTTTACATATAGGCTTACAATATTTCAACATATATGCAAATGGATTTTTATGAGGCAAAAAAAAAAAAAAAAAAAAAAAAAAAGCACACAACATAATAAAGTATTCATAGCTGTTTATTTCCACAAACCTTACATTAAATATTTATTGCAGCATAGGAAAAAATTGGGTAAAAAATTCTATATTAAGTTTCATTTTGAACAAATATAGCATTTAAAGTTTCTACACTTTAAATGTGAAAGGCATAAAGTTTCTACACTTTAAATGTGAAAGGCAACCACCAATACCATAAACAATTTTTATAATATAAAAATTTAAAATGATTGTGTGAAAATCTGGATTATACAATTATTATTCATTGTCATGGAATGTCTGGGAACAAAAAAAAAAAAAAAAAAAAAAAAAAAAAAAAAAAAAAAAGACAATTTTAAAAATCACAAAATTTAGCACACTGTCTGTGGGAAACTATACAAACAGGATTATTTATGATACCCCCATTAACTGTTTAAGGCATGTGCACAAGCTCACATATAATGTACTAATTTCATTTAAAGCATAAATAACAAACTTAATATTGAAAATAATAGTTCTTTTTTAATATCAGTTATATTTGATAGTGTGAAATTCATTTTAGTAATAATAATTACTTATTACAGATTCACTTCTGTTGCAAAATTGATTTAATAATTATTATTAACTAAATCCACATATAATCCACAAAAACTATAATAACAAATACTACAAAACTGTAATACTAAAAAAAAACTTTCAATAAATAAATTAAAGGCAATAAAAAACTCAATACTGTCAAATCTTCGTAAGAAAAAGAAAAACCATTAAGTTTAACAATCATAACTATACAATAATGAACAAAAGAAAAAAAAAAAAAAAAAAAAATAATACAAGTATCAGTCACAGCATAGAAATATAACAAACTATTACAGGAAATTCATTTACAATCAGGTTTCTTACCATAACTTAATACAGTAAGACCCCGCTTAACGCGATGGATACGTTCCATCGAAGTAGAGCGTAATGCGAAACAGCACTAAGCGAGGCTATCTTAACATGTAAATAATGGGGTTAGGGGAAGACGGATAAAAAATCGTTGGGCATTAAATTTAATAACGTTTTTTTAATAAAAATAAATCAAACATTTATTCTTACAAAAATAAAAAAACAATATAAATGCATATACTTTTAAAAACAAATAAAATTCTCAGTCAGATCATTCAGTCTATTCTGGGTTTCCAATTTTCTGCCTTTTGTTAAGAAGCATTATGATAGATTGGTTTTAATGGCATATTGCGTTCAATTTCGTTGTCAATCCATATAGACAGTCGTTTTTCCATTTCCTCTATAATGTTATTTCTAGAACGGGTAATCTAGTTGCAGAGCTTGACGTAGTTGCAGTTGCCTATTACAGTATTTTTTTTTTATTCTTAAGAATTGTCCTTATTGTTTGAAGTTGCCAAAATTCAATGCAGCACCTAATTTGAGATTGAACGTTCACCAGAATCTAATCTTCTAATCACTCGCATTTGAGTTTCCAGTGAAAATGCTTTTTCTTCGGTTGCTTTCTTTTCTTGTTTTTTATTATCACCCTTGATAAAACCTAAAGATCATAATATTTGTCAACTGTATTAATCGTTGTAGTATTATATAAATTTATACTTCCAATAATGTCAACAAATGTTTCAAATGATAAAAATGCGTCCACCAGCAAGAAACACAACTACACTGTTTCGGATATGTTATTTGGAAACCTAGCGCTGCGCACAATTTCAGAGAATCCCCGGGTTGAAATAAAAGAGCGCTAAACCGAAACAGCGCTAAACGAAACAGCGTTAAGCGGGGTCTTACTGTATTAGTAACAGCTGGAAGAAAAAAACTAGACTGCCACACAAAAATATTGCATTTTAAACTTAAATATTAGTAGACAACTACATTTTTAGATACCTGACTCCTTATAAATCATAACAGTAGAAATTTAGAAGTCATCTCTCAATTTTAATAACATACAAATTTAAAAGGATTTTTAAATATGTGAATTATTCATATATAAAAACCAATAAAATATTCTAAGCGAAATGAAATTAATATGGCTTTCTAGAAATCTGTGAATTACACTGTGCAAACAACATGACTGAGATTCTTTCAATAACTAACCAAAATTTTTGAAATTATACAAATATAACAAAATTACATGCACAAATGTTTAGTTTCCATCTAAAGACAAATGCTGAGACTCAGTCTTGAAACTAGTACAAAATTTCCTTTAATGCACATACATTGCTTTAAAAGCATTAAAAATATATACAAAGTGCAGACTTTCATAAGTTATAAATAATTAAATAATACTAAAACAGCATTTTTTGTAAACAGGATAAAATTAATACTAATAATTTTAAATTTAATTCACAAAATGTTTTCAACACTACTTTACATTAATGGAAAAAGATCAATAAATTATCATTTAATATTACCAGAGTAGGTCATTATGTATATACATTATAATACATAAGTTTGATACTAGTTATAAAAATATTTCTAAATGCAAAAAAGTAGTTATAGCTAAAATTTAATATGTACCTACATGCTATATTAAAAACTATAATATACATAAATACATTCACAAAATATAATAACTTGGTATAAAATATTACAAGTAATACTACAGCAAAATGCACCTTTAAGAAAAAATGCGATATATTACAAAGTAAAAGTTTTATAAAGTAGGAAATGTAAAAATATCAATACTGTTAACTATCTCATAGTATTTATATAACAAAATAATGGTGAAACAATTTCTGTAAAAATTTTTCTCAATTTAAGATTAATTTACTTACATATAATTTTCAAGAAATGACCTTTTATAGATACAGAAATTCAGTTTTATTACACAAGCTTTTGTCTTCTCTATATATGTGTACGAGTGTGCATAAGTTAAAAAATATAAAAATCAAAATTCTAACTTTAATTTGCAACAGTTCCTTAATTTTCTATTTTAATTCAGTTATTTTCACTTTGTTTTAAAAATAGTAAGTGCTTATAATAAATTGCTTTAAACTGTATAGTTTCAAAATTAATACATGTCATGTGATTCTTGTGTGATGCTAATGGTGCAGATACTTACAATGCATCTGCCAATAATGATTTCAAATTTGGGAACTTAAAACTTAATATTAACTGATAAAAATAAAGCTAAACTGAAACTAAATCATTTTGAATTGGCTGTTCATCTTAGACACCTCACATTCCTGTTCTTGCTTGTAGCCCTTCCAACAAGTCGCTGCTTACCTCTCTTTCATCACTGTAAGAATTAGCTCTCTACCTTTAATTCTCAAAATGCATGGGAGGGGAATATACACAGATAAATTAAAAAGAATTGATTACATTAATAAATTGGAAAATGATCTTTTTGAATAATCAAACCTACAATAGCAGAAAAAAATCACAAATACTGGAAATTTCAGCCAAATATGCCTATCTCTCTCTCTCTCTCAAAAAAAAAAAAGGGGGGGGGACTAAAATTTTAATAAAGAACAAATAAGAAAGGAAACTAATTATTAAAAAAGTAAACTTTTTTAACTTATAGAAAATTTACAGATGAAGGAATTTCTCTTTTAGATAGTACTGATGAAAATATAATTCATTCTCTAGACACCTATTATTATTAAATCTCAATAGCCTAGGTCTGTATATATTGGGTCACCCCGAAAGTTCTGTATTTTTTACGATAAAACAAAAACCGAAAAAAAAAAAAAAAAAAAAAAAAAAAAAAAAAAAAAAAAAAACATGGAATCACATGAGCACCATTTTGTTATGACATTTTCCCATCTCTTCAGCAGCTGGAAAATTCCATTTTTAAAACAGTCATTAGATTTATTCATAAAAAAATTTCTGATGTGCTGTTCGACAGTATCCAAAGAAATGAACTCCAAGTTATTAAAGGAATTCTAAAGTGAACCAAAGAGATTGAAATCCAGGAGGAGGAGGGGTAAGGTCTAGTGAACATGGGATGTGACACAAAACATCCCAGCCATATTTAATAAGTCTTCGTCTGACATTCATTGAAATATGGGGTCAAGCATTGTCATCATGATGGAAGACACTTCAACAACTGGGCATGTTTGGGCACTTGTTTCCATTTCTGCTTAAAAAAAAAAAAAAAAAAAAAAAATTTGGGAACAGCATTTTTCCAAATTTATTGCATTTATTTATATTTCCCCACCGAGTCTGATTTGTGAGCAATTCATACTATACACTTCCTTTGTAGTCTGACCATAAAAAAGGCCCCTTGAAGTTACTAAAGGAGGTTCTTTTGGCTTACTACATTATTATTATTATTATTATTTTAACATTATTGAATAGTATCCACTTCTCATCTCCAGTAATAATCCATTTAAAGAAAAGAGCTTTACTTTTTTTCAGCAAATAATTACATGACAGAACTCAAGCAAGCTTATTCTGCTTTTTTAAAACATGGGGTAGGTTCTTTTAATAGCTCTTTGTTTACATAAAATGGCTGTCCAGAGTGGGTATCATCTTCAAGGCAGAAATTTCCATGCTTAAACTTCTCAAACCACCTTGATGAACTATGTCATCAGAAACAGCAATTTATTGAAATACAGCACAGATTTTACAAGCAGTCTGACTAGATTTTTTTTTTAATTATAAAACAACATAATATGATGAAAATGAACTTCTAGGTTCTCCATTCTTAGCAATGTACTGAAACAAAAATTAAGCAACAATGCATGCTAGAATTACACAAAGTGAGT